TCAAAAGTCATAGTAATAGGGCCCTTATATCTTCGCAACCACATGTGGTAGAGAGTTAAGTTTGATGTCAAGTTGTTCAAAACATTTATATTTCTATTTACCATAATAGAATATTTTGTTAAAAAATGACCGGACATGCCATTTCTGACCTTTGACTCCATCTCCGGGTCATATTCACAGGTTCTCATATTTCCGTAACCACTGGTGGTAGGGAGTTAATTGTGGTGTCAATTTGTTCAGAACATTCAAATAAATAGATTATAAAGGAGTTGGATCTAAATTTGTAACCAGGAAAAATGATTATTTGGTTCCCAAAATGCACTTTGTTATTATTAATTAATGCAGACAGTTAAACTAGTGAAAGAATATGTGCATACTGTACTGTACTAGATCTATAAGCCAAGTCCTAGCTTTTGGCGTTAACTTCTTCATTGTATATAAAGAATCCTGCAATGGGCAAGTTCAGATTTTAAAGGTTCTGAAATTAGAGATTACAGTATTATAAACACCTGTAATGTATAGAACAACATTTTTGCAATACAAGAAAAATCATAGTAATTGTAGTTAATCAAGATGACTGTATGGTTACTCATGCTAGGTGTCTTATCTTACATTATAATAATATCCTGTAATTTGAATATAAAAAAATAATATAATCATATGTTAGCTGTAATTGTAATTACAGGACATTGTTATGATGAAGTAGATAAGAGTAGCCGTGTTTAGTCAAGATGATAACATTATTATGTAATTTGTGTATTGCCTGCCTGGTTTGTTTTTATTAGATATTTGCTTAAAATTTTAGTTCAAAATTGTTTTTTGTTTGTAATGTAAGCCCATGGTACTGAAAATACGTGCATATTGCACACTGTTTGATAACAATAAGACAAAATATGCTTCAGGGAGGAAAATTATGTAAGCCTAAATTGATCTCGACCAGAAACTCAAGTATGGGGCTCATACCCAGAATTGTCCATGTTGTATTATGTTTTGTGCACAACATGTAGCCTACTGTAACTACAGACATATGACACATTGACAGTTTTCAAATTTTCACCATATTTCATAGGTTATAACACATTTTACACAGTGTGACGGACGTACAGTGACGGACGTACAGAAAAACTGTACATCTGTCACATGGTTTTGCTAATTAGTGTAATTAATGGTAGGCTTCCAATTTGCTGTATACACTTGGTATACCTAGTATGCTTTATAACAGAGTTTTGGTAATTTCTTTGTACCTGGTTAGAAAAGGAAATAAACAAATGTCATTTTCTTGTGACGGACGTACATCCATATTTTCATTATTTTTAGATATTTAATTAAAAATATGGCGTTAATTACAAAAAGTCAAAAAATTTCACCAAATCACACAATACATACTAATTCATTATTTTAATGAAAAGTGAATCAAATTCTGATATTTTGCAAGGGAAAAAATTGGAAATTAAAATTATAACTACATTTTCTTTAGTATTTCAAAATATTAATTAATTGTATTGAATTCCAATTATTTTCCATGTGGTAAGTGAATTCTTAATTTTTTTTTTATTTCACAAAAATATAACTCATTAGCTTCATAATGATGTATCACACATACACATTTGATGTATTTGAATTTTTTACCATTTGGTTTACTAATTTACGGAATTGCCCGAATCCAAGATGGCCACGCCCGTGAAAACAATGCAGTAAAGTTCGGGAGGCAAAAAACAATTACTTAAGGTGAGGTTTGGGTCCAAAATTTTTTGGTTGTCCCACGGACAAGTTGCCCTATAGTTCTGGTTGTCCGTGGGACATTTTGGTTGGCTGGGACAAGCGGACAAGCCTTATTTCGAACACTGACTCCCATTTTCCATGCTTTTTTTGCAATATTAATGGAACTGAAATAGATTATATCACAGATCGTTGAGTGTAAAACACCATGGGAAAGGGTTACAGTAAAGAATTTGAATAAAAGAGACTATTTTCATGGTTGAGCACAGACAATAAAATTGGTTCCCATTGATGCTAACTGTACTATCATACAGTACATAAAAAATTGTTTGCATTTATTTTAAGATCATACTGTACAAAAATACAATTAGGCCTATTATACATTAAATAATATCAATGACTCAATAAAATGATAATTCTTTATATAGATGTAGAGTTCATGACATTGGCGGAGTTATGAACAAAAGGTTTCCTGCTCAAAGTTGTCCCTAGGATACCTGTAGTCTTTACTTATTATTAAGACATCAACTCTTCTTTATTTTAAGTGGTGTGATTTTTCTTCCCTAATTGTCTTAACTTCAGTGGCGTTACTAGAAGTCTTGAAATGGGGGTGCTGATGGGGGGTGCGAAGGTGAAGTGGGGGAGCTCGATGATCAGTTGAGGGGTGCTAACTTGCAAAATAAGGTGATTTTAGGTGATTTCCAATTTTACTTGCAAGTCGGGGGAAAGGGTCACAAAGGGGGCGCACAACCCTAGATACGCCACTGCTTCTTGGCTTATCAAATAATAACGCAACATGAGGAAGGGCCTTAAAACGTATAAACAACAAATAAACTACAGTATTAAAAAAAAACATAAATTACACTTTGATACTTTGCTTGAAACTACTGGTAACAATACAGGTAGTACTGTAGTTAACCTGAGTCAAGCCAGGCTTAATTGGCTCAGTCTGATGGTGAACTAGCCAGGGTTAACTTGGGCTTGACAATGTTTTCAACCCAGTCAATTCATCCAGGCATAACTCAAGCCTGTTTTGAGTGCAAATATTTGCTTTGTAATGCATTAACTGTTACTAATAATAATATTTTTTTATCCTGATTGTATGTTATCAAATTTCCCATGTGATAGCCCTACATACAGTAAAGGGAAAGATTAAAGATAACACAGTTATTAGTTTATTTTTGCTTGACCTTTAGTTTGACATCTCCCTGTAGCCTCTGGCCAAAAAGTGACCAATTCCAACTAGCCAATATTGAAGCTTGAGAGTTTCACTCACTACTGTAGGCCAACTCATATTGGACACTCAACATCTACACACTAGACTTGAGTGCTGATGGCAGAAAGTTTACTTTTGTCCAAACATACTGTAGCCATTATAATTCTGTGACTTAGGTATATCAAATTGTGGGAGAGTTCACTGTTTGTTTTAGTCTTAGTAGGGATTTCTTGTATTTTGCTTCAATAATGCTGTTTATATGGTCTTAATCATCACTGAAGACTCTATTTATGGCTTTAAGTTACATAGTGAAATTATGTATTTCCAAGAAAACAGTTAGTTTTTATGTAATTTCATACCATCAAGGTGATTTTATTTGAATTGTAATTTTTTATTCCAAATTTTTGTTTCTTTCCTTGTAAAACTATGTTCATTGTTGCATTGATTACTGTATGTTCCTTAATGTGCTCATCGTGTCATTATCAGTAATGGTCGTTCATCACTGATGGCGGTCAGTTCCTGTTGCAGCTGATTTAACGTACTGTACATATTTTATCTTCATAGATGATGACCAATGCTGGACCATCACTTTCGTATCTAATCACCTAAGTGAAGATGAATGTGTTCTGCATTGACTTGTAATCCTGTAAGAATAACAGTAAAACGGTGCTGAGTTGTCGTAACCAAGATCTCTAAGTCTGGATTTAAGACATCCATACATGTATGCACACCGTGCGATTCTTCAGATGGTATATTTTTAACCAAATCGACGTTTTATGGACAATGACTTGTGTTGGTTAGGAATCAGTGGTTATACAGATGCTGACCCAGAGGAAATCAACCAGCATGAATGACACTCAAGAATCGGAAGACATCCCCACTTCAAAGCGCAAACGTTCGTTAGAAAAGTCTGAGGAGAGGGTTGCAAGTGTCGGATCACAGGAATCAAGAACGATAAAGAATGTGAAGGGAGTGATTGTGACATATACGTCACCTGAAGGAACGCAATACAATGTTGGAGGTAAATGATAATTATATTTGTTCACATTATGAGCATCCCATTATAATTATTTTTAATATATTAAATAATAATAATTAAAAATTATTTCTAAATACCTACTGTACTGTATACAATATTAAGAGAAAAAATTGTTTGCCACTAAAGCGACTACAGCTTTACTCTGGGCTCAAGCTAATCGATCGCTAAGTCGCCATGGAAAAAATTATTTTGGATTGGCAAAAAAATAACCAACTGCTTTTAGCCATTTTGGCGAAGGCTTAAAATCATTTAAAAGTTTCAATACAGTACTTACTTTGCTAAAATGCATCATTTTTTTTCGTTCGAGCTCCATTTTTCGGCAATTCCATACCCATGCGACGTTTATTTGTGTTGTAAACGTCATTGCATGCTTCGCAATGTGTTGTTATTTAACGAAGTGGATGCAGGGCAGTGACTTTTTGACGCTGACTAAATGAAGGTAATTTATTCACAACAGCTGGCTAGTTGGTAGTGTACCCTTTGGGCGCACACTGACGACAAGAGTAGACCTTACAACTTCCCAGCTTGGGTTTTTCCAACAACTCGGGGTCTATACAGTAGGCCTTTTCATTTTTTTTTTCATTTCATTTCTTTAGGCACGAGCACCAAGGATATACTAATCAGCGAACTTTTATCACTATCCTAGGTGGCATATCCATTAAACAACAGGGGACTGTGATAGAGTAGTAGAAATATCGTTGATATTAATAAATGATTTTGTGTTCTCGTCTGACACATACTGTAAAGTACATTTAAATAATGTGCGTATTTTAAGAATGCACCGCGTAGGTCGCTTTGTTACACTGTGTACGTACAGTACTAGCAGAGTAAATGTAGTAGGTCTAGTCGCGGTTTAATCTCCCAACAAGGCTAGGCCTAGGTCCTTGCTCATTGCGGTGAAAAATTTGGGTTACAGGAGATGGGCCCCACAAGATGATCATGCCCATTTAGACGATCCGAACCAAGCTAATTTTGAATACTTATGACTTTATGTCCTGAAACATAATTATGCTAATGAGAATACTACTGTAGATGAGCCTTCATAATTTTTTAAACTTTTGTGTTATATTAGCAAACTTCTAAAGTACCACATTGGCGTGCTAAAAACATTAATTTTCCTATCAAATAATGCTATTTTGATTGCTTATTCCTAATGTGGTCTAAAATCATAATTTGTTTTTGCCATAAAAACTCTCTTTGTGAACTTAGTATTTTTTTTTTCCGGTACCCTGTATGACTTTTAATGATTTTCAATAACTTTTGTCAAATTTTGGCTAAAGACAGATTCAATTGGCTAAAAAAATTTCTTGACTTTAATAGCCAATTGGCTTTAACAAACAAAAAATATTAGAGTGAGCCCAGTTACTGGCAAGATATTTAGATTAAGGAGAATCTGGAAATTACTGTAGATGGTTCTTGTTAGTACAAACAGTGAAATGTGAATATTAACATACAGTACTCCTTTAGTTAGTAACATCAGCAACATGCAACACAAAAGGTTTGTTATTACAAACGATTGTTCACTCAATTCTCCGCTAAATACCTTCGGCTCCAACCTCTTTACCTTTCGGAAAGAGGTCGTAAATTTCGCTTCCAGCTAATTTGAGCAGCTGTCAGTGTGAGAAAGAGACAAAAAGGAGATTTATTCATCGTTGATATACAACCTTTAGTTAATGAGGCCTGGCAATTTTAAATTAGTGCCTGAGTTGTTGATAATGTTTCTATGGCACAATGAAAATAATTTGCTTGCTTTCAACTAAATTAGCATCTTTCAATAATGATAAGTACGGTGGGGATTGGACTTAGCAATTAGACCTGCAAGCCCAATTCTGAGTAGAATACACAGAGCTACTAGATAATTGTGTATGGGTAAATATTGTTTTCATTACAATTCTAAATTTGCAATAGATCACCAAGGATTCTTCACTTTTAGTGAATGGACTAAAATAGAAAAATAATAATTTTAACACTGCACTTGCTTCCTATACAGAGAATAGAGCTTAAAATTATCTTTCACACAAAGCTTTATGAAGTGTGTGTGGAGGTGAATAGCTCAAGAAAGATGCATGCCTTCCAATCCCATGGTCCTGGGTTTTTAATTCCTCTCAGTGTAGCAGGATTTATTTCTCACGACTAAAACAGCTCCACTCCCTAAACCTCATGTGGCGGGGACAAGCCAAACCAGTCACTCGTTGCAAATGTGTTTCATGCTTAATGACCAAAACATGCTTGAATGTCAATATTTTTGAAATCTATTTTATTGCACTAAACTAAACTTTATATTATACATCATGCTATGCTATTATTTTTCTTATTTTCAATGTTGTTAATTGTAAAACAAGAATTTTTAACAATTTGGTGATAGTTACTACCTGAGCAATGCCCAAAATCATAAACTTTGAAGGCTGAATTCTCAGATATTGTTCTTTAAACAGATGTATGTTTAAACACTTGTAAATTCATAAAGGAAATGTCCGTTTTACTGTAAATGATTCTTTTACCATTTTATAGCTCTCATTTTACTGTTTAACCATGTACAGTATTAAACTAAAAATCAATTTTTGCGTTGAGTGACTGGTTTGGCTTCTCTGCCACATATTGAGATTTAGTTTTCAAGTGTAAAGCATCATGTGTGTATGTTTGTCTGATGAAAGGGATTGTCAACTACTACAAGTAGGACAGTGTTATATTCGCTAATTGACAATCCTTAGTCATGTGTTATGTGAATAAATAAATTTTAAAAATTAAAAAATAAAATTACTCTACTGTACTTTAAAAAGGAAAGTACAGATATAAAATCAGTGATGAAATTTAAGGACTTAAAGCCCCATTCCTGGCAAAATTTCACTAAAAACAGATTTTTTTTTATAGAAAAGATGCAATATGCATTACTCCAATTATTATAAATCATGGAAAAATATTGGCATACTTTTTAGTTTTATGCAAAAGAATAAAAAAAATGAGAAATACAGACTATTGGTCATAGAATATACCATTTTCTTGACGAATTCTTCGTTACTAGGCAAACGGTTGTAAATCGCATCCGCTTGAATACTCTCGCTTTTATGTATACTTTA